CTACTCTGACTCCTTCGATTTTGCTTATGATTTTTCAAGTAACTATTTTAAATTATCAATAGTTTTCTGTTATTCATCCAATTCAATTTTTTATGTTTAGACAATACCTTGTAATTATTAAATTTTTGATTGATATTCATGTTCCTTCTCAATAGCTTCAATACTCCTCACTGGTTGTTATTGAGTTTGCTAACTAACTTAGGATTAGTCTGATTCAACATTTTCTAAAAATTAGTAAATATTTTTGATTTTTGTATTTGTATATTACTAAAGTGAATCCTTAGGTTTTGCTGAGCCAATTCTCTTCTCTACTTTAAGTTAAACATTAGTAGATTCCTCTTTGTTTGTTGATCCCAATCTTTTTTCAATCTTTTTTTCGACTTTAACTTTAGTTGATTGATCCTTTTATACTTCATCCTTAGTTAACTCCTCAATTTGACTCAATGACAAATTAATATTATTTAGCATGGAATTATTAAAATTATTTTGATATTCAATGTGTATTTAAATTCTCACTTTAAACGTGCATCAACCATATCCAAAGCTTTTTTTATGACTTCTTTAGGATTGTTAACATCACTATTTACTAGAACCTATTTTCCTTCAAGTTTCTTAAAAGCTTCCAAATACTCTTCAGCCAAATTGAATCTGGCAGCCAAATCACCCTCTTCACTATTCATAGCACTAGAAATAGCTTCAATTCTTTAAACAGTAGCAGTCGATCTAATAACAATAGACTCAGCTAATCCTTCTGCCTTTAAAATCTTTGATAATCTTTCTCCTTCAGCCAAGTTTATTTATGATTGCTATTTGGCTTCAGAATGTAAAATCTATGTTCTTTTTGTTCTCTCAGCTTCAGCTTCCATATTCATTGCCTTTCGAATATTTTCAGTGACTTTAATATCCTTGATTTCATAACGTAAGCACTTTAAACCCCACTCTTAGACAGCTTCTGATAGTCCAGACAAAATGAGAGCATTCATTTTCTCTCTTTCTTCAAATGTCTGATCTAGAGTGAGTTTACCTATTTCAGCTCTCATAACAGATTGAGCTAGAATCTAGGAGGATTAAGCAGAAAATCTACTTGAGCATAATCAATTGGTTTTTGGGCACCATATGAACATTTAACTGGATCATCAACTTAAATATATAATACGCCGTCTATTTATATGATCACATTATCTTTTGTGACGGCATTTTAAGCATAAATCATGAAGGCTTATTCCTAAGATATGTATCATTCTACTTTAAGTGAATGTTCATAAGCAATTTCTTCAATAAAGGGTATTTTCCAATTCAAACCTGGAGTTAGAGTTCTTGTGTATTTCCCAAACCTTTATAAAACACAAACAGTTTGATGAGGAACTGGAACAAAAAATGATCGCAATGCTGCTCCCATTTTATAATTTTTATGTTAATAATTATCCTCAAATAAAATATATTTTTCATTAATATTTAAGTCCAGATGCTTTACCAACTTGACATAACCCACAAATCAAACAATTTTCTTAGTAATCTGTTTCATAAACACTACCATCATAAGGACATGATTTGTATATTGAAATATTTTTAAGTGTATTTGCTGAATATATTGGTTATTCATTCAACCATTATTCTTAGAATTCTATTTAAATAGCATTTGAATTTTATTATTAAGATGCTTTTTCATACTAAATACAATAAATTTAATGAATAATACCTTTTATGCATTTTATAAAACTTCAGGTTTTTGAGTATTGTCATTTTTTAATAACTCAATTAATTTTTTAGCAATTTATTAGCATGTAATAAAATTCTTTTATTTGTAACTTATACTTAAAGCTTATCTTAATGTTAATATTCTATGAATAGGTAATAAATCAATTGTAGCCATTTTACAAGTAACTTCTAAGATATTACTATCTTTTTTAAGCTAATCACAACGCATTGCTATAAGATAATTTCTACTAATGTTAATATATCTTTTAATATCATCAATTTAATTATCTTCATAATCTGTCAATAATAATTTTTATAAAACAGATCTAAAGCAATTAGTAACATCATTAAATTTTGCATCTGTTGTATATTTATAACCTAATATATAAGATTAAATAATTACCTAATTTAATCAAATTCTTGATTTCATTCAATCTATTGATTTTCACTGGTAAAGTTGAATTACTAAGATATGGTGATGAAGTCACAACCTAAAAATTAGGTAAATCTACAAGTAATTTATAAAATTGTTAATGGTTATTAAGATTGATTTATTGTTTTAATAATTTGATACCAATTTCATAATTACCAGCAACAAAGTATTTAATAGCAATATCTCCTTTTTAATTGACAATGTTTCCTCTTAGTGCTTCTTCATCAATATTTTTATTAATTGGATCTTTAGGTTTAGATTCCAAAAATACTTCTTCTGGTTCTTCATCTAAGCCCCATTATCCATCATTTATTTATTCATCAAGTTAAGGTTCTTCTATTACTTACTTTTATAATGTAAAGATATCTTATGGTATTACAGTTTCATCAGTTACTTCAAGATTAATTATGTCTTATTCATTTAATTAAATAAGTGGCCATGGATCACTTTTGTATTTCATTATGGGAATAGGAGGAATCAAAGCTTAACTACCTCCTAAAGAGTTAATCCATTCTATTGTTTCTTTTTAATTATCATCTAATTTTTATGAAATTCCATTTAGATGATCCATGATTTAGGATAATTTTGGTAATGAATTTTTAATTACAATTTTCCTTTAGGATTAGGATTGATATATAAAATTAGGATTTATATTCTGTAATTTTTCTTACTTTTCAATGTTGCCAGTACATAAATATAAAAATGACAATCTATCAAATTAACTTAATTATTGATCACAAATATCTACTAATAAATGATTGCCCTATCTTAAAGCCTCAGTTCTTAATTGTTCAAATGATTATGGATCTCTAATATCAACTGCAGCTTTATATGCATATTCTAAATTACCACAATCTAGAGAAAGTGAAAATTTAGCTAAAATTATATAAAAATTAATTACCATATTTATCTTTAACTAATTTTAATGCCATAGAAGCAAGTTTTTTTTAATATAAATATGACAATATAGCTTCATTTTGATTATGTTCAATAAATTTATGAATGGTATTTAAATCCTTGTTCATAATTGCTATTTTAAATAAAGGTTCTGAAATATCTAGAATGTCTGTTATATATTTGGCTGTATTATCAATTGCAATTAATTTAATTTTGTTTTGTTATTATTCTTCACTTTTTGCCAAATATAATATATTTTCAGTTGATTTTAAAACACCCATGTCTCCATTTAATAGCAAATACTTAATTTAACTTTTTGTTGTATAGATTATAAAATTGTTAAACCAAATAAAAGATTTAATATTAATTTATTCTTTAATTTCAATTAATTTCTATAATTATTTAGTAAAGATTGTTAGAGATAATTTGGTTGAAACAATTAAATAGGATTCAATATATTATACATATTTAGCATTAGAATACTCAACAGAATGTAATATTGATTTTGTTATAGGATCAAATAATTCTAATTAAGGAATAGTTCCAATTCTTTGAATTAATATTTTACCACCAGGAGCAGCAAATATTTTAGATGATTATTTCTCATCAATTATTTGAACAGCATCTGTTTCATAATTATATAATTCTATTTATTAATCTTGATTGATTCTAGCAATTTTATTCTTTCCAATAAAACATGCACAATTAGCAAAGAATTATTTGATTCCTGAATCTCCTTTTTATTATTAAAATACAATTAATAAATGTCTTTTAGATTTAGTTGGCTCTTTAAATTATCTTATACATCTAATCATCAATTATGTTTTTTGTGTATCATATGTATTATATTCAATAAATTCAATATTATCCTCCAAAAGAGTAGGAGATGGAGTAATAACAGTAGCTATATCTTTAATGATTGATTATTATCCACTATTTAATTCAACTACTTTAAGAACTTTTTATTCAGCTATACAAAGATATCTATCATTAACTAAAATAAGAGGCACTCTATCTTTATGTAAGGTAAACACTTATAACATAGTATCTGAGCCACATGCAAAATAATAATTATTTTAATGACATGATACTATCCAATAACGATCATAGTGTTTATTTTCATAAATAGCAATTTATTTACGAGTAGAAAAATCCCAAATTCTAACTGTGTGATCTTCTGAATCTGATATAATAACTTATCCTTTTGGATGAAATTCTGAACAACAAACATTATTGGTATGACCTGATAAAGTATCAAATTCCCAAGCTTTATTTTCATTGTATTTCCATAATTTAATATTTTTATCATCAGCACTAGTAATAATAAAAGGTTCTGTTTAATGAAAAGCACACCAATTAAGTTAATCTTTATGTGCATCTAATATTGAAATTACTTAAACTTCTGCTCCTGATAATACATATTCTTAATTCTTTTTTTAAGCATATCTTTATTTAAGTACTCCATAATTCCATAATCTAGCTGTTTAATCTAATGAACATGTAATAATTAAATCTTAAGTTGGATGAAAATGACAAGCCATTATATAATGTGTATGTCCTGTTAAAATTGCAATAGTTTGTCTACTTTAATAATTCCACACTCTTGCTGTTTAATCATCAGAACCTGATAATACCCAAGGATTTATTGGATGAAATGTCACACATCTAACATAATCTAAATGTCCTTTTAATATGAATTGACATTATTTAAAATTCCAAACTCTTACTGTAAAATCATCTCCTCCTGAACAAAATAAATTGAGTTATGGATGAAATTAAACTGATCGAACAGCACCCTTATGATCATCATATATAGCTATTCTTTTCTTAATTCTATAATCAATCAATTCAATGATTCCAGAATGAAGTGCACTTAATACCCAGGGACGATGAGGATGAAATGAAACACTTTTTACACGATCTGAATGTCTCTCAAATTTTATGAACATTTTAATTATTTTACACGTATATATCATAATAAGGAATTGTATATCTCAGGACATATAACATAGCTGAGAATAGGAAATGTAAAAGCACCAATACGTAAAGCTCCTATAGGATTTCTTTAAGCCAATTGAGTCAAAATCAACAACCCAATTGAACTGCCTAAAGCTATACGTCTATGCTTTCCTTGAAAATTCATAATATAATTGTCTTTTAACACTTATTTTAACCATTTATTATACATGCTATATCATTTGCCAAGATTGTTGAATGAATTTCAAATCATTCAACTCCCTCATTTATAAATTACATTTTTTAATAATGAAAAACCATATAACTATTTTCTAAGTCTTAAATATATATATATAAATTCAGTATTAAACTGCACTATGTAAATTTCTACAACTTGTTCTTAACTAAATACTTATTTGATTTTTTAATTTAATAGCTGGATTCTTGGGAATCCTATTATAAGAAGATTACATCCCACTCTAAATATTAGAATCATATATTAATTCTAATGGTAATCTAGTTACTTAAGGGACTGAATTATATTGAATGTAATTATTTTATTGTAATTACACTCTGTCTTTACACCATGAACAAATTTATTGAATAATTTCCAGAGGTCGAGAATCATTATGTTCTCCATCAACTTTTATTAATTTCTTGATTCCTTTATGTTACTTATATAATTTTAAACTATTTTTTGCCTTAATAAGGGAATCCTTATCACTACAAATGTAGAGTGTAGGCATATTTGAATTACATTACACTTGTATATCATTTAATTGAAATCCAGCCTCTTCCTCAATTGAACCTTTTGTTAAGAAGATGATAGCCTTTATTATAAATTTAGGTAAACGAGTTTGTTTCTGTATAATGCTAATTGCTAATTTATTGAAGTTTGTGAAACAACTATCCAATACCAATCCTTTAACATTAGGGTATTCCTTTAATTGAATAGTAGTTGCACCTAAAGATCTTCCCCATAAAATAAACTACTTCTAATAAAAATTAATTTCTAATTCTTGCAATATTGAAGTGATATCATCCTTCTCAAGATGTCTATTAGTTTTTATTGCAATCATACCCAAAAGTAATAAAATCTCCTTCAGAATGACCACATGCTTAGAAATCAAATGTACAAAAATTGAAACCATATTAAGCAACAATTTAAGCATATTTAATGCCTTCTATTCTACATCCATTGTAGCCATGACAATAAACAATACAATTAGAAGTTTTTGGATTCAATTCAAAGTATGACATTTCTAATTTGCAATTTTAACGATTAGTAATAATCCTTTCATGTTTACGTATATAACTTTGATGTAGTTAAATATATTCAGGACCTAACCATTATAATAAGAAATAAAAAACCTAGATCAAAGTAACTATAATTATATCTAGGTGGTCTCACAAATTTCTACCATTCTCTTTATATTGACATTTTTTAATTTTATATACTTTTCTCAATTTTAATATAATATATAAATTATATATGTCAGAAGAAGAAGAGGAAGAATACTTTAATATAAATGCTGAACATCATCCAATCTGTGATTATAATGAAGATAGATAATAACACAAACAATAAAATAATAAAGTTTTGTTAAATTTGGGAGTATTTGCTTTACTTATAGCAATTTCTTCATTGATCTTTATGGGTTGGTTAGCTAAGAAATCAAGAGAAGATCAAAAACCAAATATTTTACCATTTCATAATCCTAATAATCGTTCAGAACTTTTATGTCCACTTAATACTTCTTTTGATACTAGTAAATTCAGTTGTATGAGTTGTTCCTAAAATTGTGAATATTGTTATCATGAATATAAATAGAGATGTGTTTAATGTATTCATCCATACAAATTAAAATAAAATTAATGTGTTGAAGATTGTGTATCAATAGATAATGTTTGTATAAATACAACATCAGATTTGCTTAATTTATATAATTATTCAATAATTGATTTAGGAACAGAATTAAGAATAAATCAATTGTTTTAAGTTGAAATTCACACTCATTTATATGAAAATTTATATATCATATTCCCTCCACTTGGTTAATCTTTTAATTATTTTTATGATTAAGTTAAATTGCCTGAATTGGCTTAATAATTGAATGCAACACTTTTTGTATTTTCAACCCCATATACAGAAGTATTATAAGTCTAACAATTATCAGATTCAATTGATGATGAATTTAGGTATATAGAAAGAGTTCATGACTTTATTAAACCATATTTATCAAATAATACTAAGACAATCAATATTATTGGTTTAGGAGAAATGCTCTTCTTTGCTCATCGTTTATCAACATTAATGTATCAAAATATATACAATTTTTTAGAGTTAAGAAAATGCCTGTCTCCTTTGATACTAATATTACAGTTATTTTAATGTAAACTTTGTAAATACCACTATCAGAATCTTTAAATTTAAGCTTCATGTAATTACAGCATTTACTGGCTTATATTGATTAGGGATGGGACATATCGCATAAAGAAAATAAGACTGATCTTATAGCAAATAATGAAGATGACCTCTTTTCTTAAATTCAGTAGTTTCTCATACATCTTAGCTTTAACAATTTAGTAAATCCATCTTACAACATGAAGATTAATGTTGTAGTGATTTCTGAAAGAGGATGCAAAGATATATCAAATTTATATGAAGATGGTTTCAACGCCAAAAACTTTATGCAAATATTCTTAGATGACAATCATTTGGCAACATAATTTGCAAAATTAATCAGTCTATAATGAATTTGTAATTAGAATAGTAATTTTGATTAATTTTGATTGTGTCATTATATATATTCTATGTTATTAAATGCAATCATGTAATTTTTTAAAAATTAATATCAATTCATATTTTATATTAATTATATATAATTGTAGCTACTTCAATTTTGCATATGATGATAAATTTAATTTAGAATTTTAAATAAAATTGTTAAATCTAAATAAAATAACATATATTATATATTTAGTTAATTTGAAGTAATAGTATACAATATTATATAATCTATAAGATGGAAGAAATTTTAGTAACTTCATCTGAAGAATATATAATAACGTATAAAGTGATATGAATTATGTTTTCATTATTGATTAATTGAGATATTTGTTTTAAAGTGTTAATTATTAATACTTTGTTTGAGTGATGATTGTGTAAATATGATTAAAATTATTTGATATTTTATTTATGTTATAATAAAGTAAACAATTGAGATAACAATATGAACAAGAACTTGAGTAATAACTTTCTTTTGATCGAAAAGCTAAATTACGGTATTATGAAAATCAGTTGCATCCATAACCTAAATACTTCAAATGCATCAAAACACCTAATAGATCATATTTACAATAATCAATTAAAATACCAAAAGTTGAATAAAGTTATAGAGATTTTACAGATATAAAAAACTCTTTATTTTAAGAACAAATTTCAGTGATATAACCATTGTGTCATTGTAAATTGGAACATATGGCATAATAATTATAAAATAAAAAATTTAAAAGAATAATAAGAGAAACAAAATAGATTGCATAAGTAATATATTTTTGTAAAGTCAGAGTTCAGAATCTCTAAAGGAATATTTGGTGTGAATTAATTAAAAATTATAATAAATAAGTTTAAAAATAGTAATACTAAAAAATTGCAAATAACTTAAAAGCTCACATATAACATTTTCTTTTAAAATAAATACTATTTTAATGGAGTATTATACCAAAATAAAAGAAAAGAGCATTACAATTAATTATTATGAAACAATTCTTCTTAAAATGGCGTAGAACATAACCAATTTCATCAACATTATAATGGTTTTTTAAAATTTGGAAGGAATATGTAAAAGAGAAATAGGCAAAGAAGATATATACATACTAAAGAACTAGAAAATTATTTGAATTTTGGAAATTGAAGACATCTTTAAAAAGAGTTAGAGTGAGATAATAAATTTTAGCAAAACATCATTATAATAAAACACTTATCCAATGTGTTTTTGGATTACTTTAATAAAATATCTAACTAAATAGAGGAAATCAATCATAATTTTCAAATGAGTTTCTAAAATCAGATTCTCAAATTTAGACTATTAAATTGCAACAATGAAAATATATATGTATTATATATAAATTAATAAGACTTATAAGAAAAATATTAATAATGAAATATTATAATTGTAATAGTAATGTATTTAAAAAAGTTTAAATTTTTCATAATATGTTTAAGATTTAGGATATAATTCATTTTTTAGAAAAAATCCTTTAGTAAGCATAAGCCTCTGATAAACAAAGACTCAAATCTGATTCTGACCATTCTCTTGTAGGTATCTTTTCTAAAAGAATCATTATTTCATCATATTATAATTTCTAAATTTTAAGAGAAAATTTCATTAAAATAGAAATAATAATAAAGAGACATAGTTCAAAATAGTCTATAATTATTATAATAATATACTATTTTCCTCTGCTAATAAAGTATCAAATAATCTTAATCCAACTTCAAATTAAAACATTCTTAATAACATACATGTACTCCATTTAAAAATAAATGCATATAATTCCATTGCTATTATTAAAAAATACATTCTTACATAATGAAGTAGTAAGATGTTCATAAAGCTTTTTATCTAATGCTTACAATATCTCCTTAAATTTATTATAGAATCTAATCAATCCTGGTTATGAATTAGTATAGTTATCAAGAACACTTTCTAATAATTTACAAAGACACCAATAAGAGTCAGCTTCTACTTATCTTATCAACCTTTAATCTAAATGATTTAATTGTTTTTCATTAATAAATTGTAATTTAGTTGTGTCAATATCAACATAGTCAGACAAAAATACAACTAAAAAAGGAGCAACAATATCATTCATTCCTTATACATACCCACAAGCAGGATTACGTATATTCCAAATAAAAAGGATCCTCTCTAATAAAGTTTAAATTTATAGATTTCTAAACACTGAAGAGTCTGGTATTGTACGCTTAACATCTTCTGATATTTATTTTAATATCTTTTTCTCTCTTTCATCATATTACTGATTTTTGGCAAAATAAATATCACACATTCCAAAGTATACACTTCTTTTTCTCTCTATGATTGTAAACTAACCAAGTCTATTATCCAATATACATTTGCATCCCTATTTGGAGATTAATATTTAAGTAATAATCTCCATACA